TTGGCACCACATATCAGACTAGGTAATGATTCTCTCTTTCTTTAGGAATCCAGAAATTATGGCTTTAATCGATTTACCTGAATAAACTTACTATTTATCTGATTGGTTTAAGAATCGCTAGGCTAGGTTCAAGATATAATCCGTCTAAACACTCCCCCTTTCACTCATTCACTCGTTTACTTACTCTTTCACTCATTCACTCACTCACTCACTCTCTCACTCATTCATCTACTCATTCACTCAGGTGCTTAATGCAGTGTCGAACTAAAGTCGTTTTACTGTTTGATTGTACACTTGACTGGGAATGTAGAAATACTACCTGTCAAATGAGAGAACGTGAACTTTGAACTTTAGTCACTCAATTGCAAAGAAAACTTCAACGTTTCCTACGAATGAAAATCATTCTCCGATATATTGGACCAGTTGAATTTTTTTAATTTTTAAATTTGCATCAAAATAATTAAAATGTATTCTTCTTCCAAATAGAAATAATAAAAGTATAAACAATTTTATCTCAAAGCTCCAACCAAATCATTGAAATCATTGAAATTGTCCACACACACACACACACACACACACACACACACACACACACACACACACACACACTTTCCCTCTCTCTCTCTCTCTCTCTCTCTCTCTCTCTCTCTCTCTCTCTCTCTCTCTCACACACACACACACACACACATGCGTACATACACACACATATATACAAACAAACACAGCTGTTTGTGATATTGACTTGAAAGACATGACAAAACTTACATTTAGAATTAGATTTGTGCTACTTTTGCTGTTAATTCTAAAACGGAAAGCAAATACAGCTATGTAAATCATTGATAAAAATTTCAAAATGATAATTTCAAAATACTTTTTTGATGTTAAAACACGAATATGAACTAACTTTTCATTCAAAGGTGTAGGTACCGATATCCACACGTGAATATAACACTAACGAATTCAAATTTTTATAAAAACTTGATGAAAATTTCACCTTTTATTCTTTTTTATTATAATTATTATAATTTTTATTTAAGAAAAATTTTATAATAACAAAACAGGAAACTTCATTTTATTCAATTTCTGTTTAACTTTATTAGTTTTCAGGGTATTTATTCATATAAAAACTTCATTTTTTGGGGGTGCGGTCATATAACAATGACATGATTGAAGCCCATCATGGGCAGGCCATCAAGACCGTGGTGCAATGGTTAAGATGCCTGTTCCTACTGGTGCACAGACCGGGTTCGAAGGCAAAAAGATCTTCGACTATTATATGCAATGCGTGTGATGCTTGGTTTAACATGGTGCGTGTGTGTCTGTCCGTGTATCTGTGTGTGTGTGTGTGTGTGTGTGTGTGTGTGTGTGTGTGTGTGTGTGTGTGTAATAATTAACATCGTTATTTCATTATCATCATCATCCTTCTCATCATCATCATCATCCTCCTCATCACTGTCATCACGCAATGATAATTATTAATTACCCGACATTGTTTGACTTTCAACATTATTTCAAACGTTAAAAGTGAGAATAACTAAATTGGCTCGTGCGTGAGTGTGTATTTCTTTGTGTGTGTGTGTGTGTTTGTTTGTGTGTGTGTGTTGTGTGTGTGTGCGCGCGTGTGTGCGTGTTGCTTGTGTGTGTGAAGTATATTTTTTACTAAATTACTTACTGAATTATTATATTTGGCAGTAATTACTTGAGTTAGATGCTTGAACTTTCAGTTAATTGCAACTAACATCTATCGTACGATTTGTTTGTGGAAAGCTTCAATTATATTGTAAAGTGGTCGGACACTATCTTCATCAAGTACATTAAGTTTTAGTTTTGACATATAATTGAAAGCGTTGGCTTTTATTCACTCATTCCTCTGTTATTTTTTTTATAACCAAATTTTACATTAAAACTAATGTTTGTTGGAAGTATTGTACGGAAAAATCATTTAAAAGTGACATTTTGATGCTGGTGGAGGGCCCCCTCTTTGTGGAGTCCGCGGGGCAGTAGCCCACCACTTAACCATTTTTCAAGTTCGGCTCTGTTTATATATATATATATATATATATATTATATATATATATATATATATATATATATATATATACAGTTTACACTTCTGAATAATATTCAATGAGGAATTATTAATAAAAATTACAAACTTTGATCAGCAGAGGTTCTGTCTCATTTTACTAAGTTTGCAACTTACTGAAGCTATCGCACTCTACTGAATGAAAAGTTAGTCTCATGTTGGATGAAATGTTTATGAAATTTTATTGACAAATTCTTATCAAATTATTGCAGTAGTTAAAGTTTTGTTATATTTTTAGTATGAATAATATTATTATAATTAAATTTAATCCTTATAAGATCACGTAGACATGGTTTGTAGGTATCATTAGCAGCATTATAACCATCATGACCATGTGGCAATACAAAAAGATCTTCACGGTTAATCATGCAAACTGCTGATGAACCAAACTGGAGTTTTTAACCTGTTTGTCGTACCACAATGTTGTCAGTCATTCACAAAGGCACAATAATACATACATACATATGTATATATTATTATGTGTTTGTGGTTTGTGTGTTTTAGTTGCAGAGTAATGCGAATTGACGATTAATACAATTGTTAGTTTGTACATTAGCTAGAAAGATTTGACAGTGTTTCCAATGTTGCCAATGATCTGGATTTAAAGTTTAATAAAGATTAATAAAGTAATTTAGACGGAAAGGAGTTCTGAAATCATTGGTGAGGATTTGTGGGAAATTTAACTTTAAAAACAGTGACCAGACCCAGTTCAATTGACTTGATGTGGAGAGATAAGAGACAAAAGGAGAGAGAAAAAACATGCAAACAACTAAATACATACAAACAAACAAACATCTTATTACATACAAGCACATAAAAATGCATGCATACACATTCTTTTATACAATCAGGTACATCTTCTTTTCATTTTTTCCTCTCTCTCTCTCTCCGCCTCTTTCCTTCTCTCTCTATTTTTCTCTACATGCATAACAAATACTTTTATACATACATTTATAAATAGATATCTGCATGCATACAAACATACAGACATACATATATACAAACATACATATATACAAACATTCAAAAATACAAGCATACATACATGTATACATACATACATACACATTCATTTATACATTATGCATACATGCATCATTCACATTTCACCACCACCCTCACTCAGAAGTTGTCTCTGAACGAGACGTGAGTGTGAGCGTGTTTAATTTTTGCTGAGTCTCTCTCTCTCTCTCTCTCTCTCTCTTTCTGTTTCTATATTTTTCTCTTTGTTCTTTATCCTATTTTTTTGTTTTTATAATTTTTCCTGTTAATTCGATTTTTTTTCTTTCACTTCCTTTCATGTTTTCCAATCTTTTTTATTTTTCGATTGTTTACTCGTCACTCTCTCTCTATTTTTTTCAAGTTTTTCCCATTTTTGAATCATCCTCTCTCACTCTTTCTCTCTCTCTGTCTCTTTCTCTCGCTCTCTCTCTGTCTCTTTCTCTCTCACTCTCTGCCTCTTTCTGTCTTTTTCTCTCTGTTTTTCTCTATTACATTCTTTTTTTCTTTTTCCTCGTTTACTAGTTTCTTCTCTCTCTCTCTCTTTCTCTCTCTATCTCTCTCTATCTCTCTCTCTCTCTTTATCTTTATCTCTTTCTGTCTTATCTTTATTTCTTACATACTCAGTTTTCTTTTTTTTTATAATTTGTTGAATTCGCTCAATTTCCCATACATTTGCAGTTCACTCGCTTCCTGCTTTTTCATTCTCCTCACTCATCACTCTTTTTCTTTCTCTATCTCTACCTATCTCTCTCTCGCTCTCTTTCTCTCTTTTTATCTCCATGTATCTCCTCTTCTCTGAAGCTCCCATCACTTTCCCACTATTTAGCTTATATGCCATGCAACCGATATTATTGATTGATCGTGTGTAGGTACGCAGCTGAATCTATCTTCATAAAGTTCCTCTTATTATCGTTAATACAACTCCATGGATTCATTCATAATTCATTGTTAATTATTATATAGATGAATTAATGTTAATTATTATTAATTATTCGTACGTACTTTTCACCGTTAATTATATTATTCGCATTATTATTATTTTTTTTATTAACAAGATTTTTCGTAGTAGTAGTAGCAGTGTAGCGGCAGTAGTAGCAGCAGTAGTAGCAGCAGCAGTAGCAGCAGCAGCAACAGCAGTAGTAGTAGTAGAAGCAACAATTTTTTTACATATTATTATTCTGGGAGATATTTTATTTATAAAGCCATAAACTTAACAAGTCACTATGTTAATTGCGTCCAGTAATTTTTAAATATTCTTCACTGTAACATAGGTTACAGATACGTAAACACAAACACTACACACACACACACACACACACACACACACACACACACACACACACACACACACACACACACACACACACACTCACACACGATACACATACACAGAAAGTAGTGAGAAAATGAGGGAGAGGAAAGACGTGGAGATAGATAGATAGATAGATAGAGGGATAGATAGAGAGAGAGAAAGGAGAGAGAGAGAGAGAAAATAAAAATACACTCACATACATAAGACCGATGCGAATTTGTGTATATAAGGTATGTGCGTGTAATATGAGGTGGTAGTGGTATGTGTGTGTATATGTGTTTTGCGCATCGTAAGTGGAAATTGACAATAACAATGACAATTAATATTTTATTTATTTTGCCAAAAAAGCAGGGAGACTGAAGTTCAGAAGAACTTTTATGGTACCCGGAAATAATGAGAAATTGAACATAAAATAGAATATAAGTTAGGAAAATTATGAAAATGAATTATGAAAATGAATTATGTAGAGAAATAATGTGGTTTAAAACACATACATATATATTATTATAAGTGGGAGTTAATATAAAGTATAAATATAAAATTAATATATACAATATGCCAAAACACATGGCGTTCTAAACAGATATACAGTATACAAACATGCATTTAGGTCATGGAGATACATTAGAACAAAGTGTGTTTATAAATGTTTGTGAATAAAGACAAGTAGGTAGATGCATGCATGTATATACATGGATATTCATGTACATATATACAATAAACACACACCACACACACACACACACACACACACATATATATATATATATATATCTATCTAAATATACATACATCTATATACATATATTATATGCATATAAATACTTATATACATATCTGTACCTATATACATACATACATACATGTGCTTACATATAGACATACACACATTTACTTACATACATATATATGCATCATTCGGTTGTATGTTATACACATGTGTTTATCTTAAAATAGTCGGTTGTTTTGTTCGTATTTCGTTGTGTTGTTGTTGCTGCTGTCGAGTCTTGTTTGAGTTTTTTTTCGTTTTTTTATTTAAATAAATAAATTATTTATTGTTTGTTTTTTTTGTAGGGTTTTTTTGTAACCACACAGAAGAAAAATGGTCAAAATTATAGCAACTCAAGTTTGTGAAAAATTAATTAACCTAATTACTAAACTTGTACTCATTACTAAATAAATGTTACTTAATTACTATTTCTAATGTTACTGCAACTACTACTACTACTACTCTTTAAAATTTAAATCACTACTACTACTGCTACTACTACTACTACTACTACTACTACTACTACTTTCTACTACTACAAATTTAATAAATTAACCATCATATTATTATTGCCATTAGATATTTACTAATATTAACATTTAGGCAAATATTACTGTTTTTATTTTATTTTTATTATTATTAATATTATTATTATTATTTTTCAAAATAATTATAAAGATGTCCTCAGTTATTTACGTGGCTGTGTAATTAAGTAAGGGTAAAATTAAAATATAATTGGGATATTACTTTCTCTCTGTCTGTCAATCCTTCATTCATTCAATCGTTCAACCATTCATTTGTTTATTTGCATATCTGCTTGTTCAGGCAGTAAACAGACATTCTTAGCATGTTTTTCTAATTAGAAATATTTTTCTTTGTTGTGATTTCTATTCGCGAATTATTCTTCTTCATCTATACAATCAATGCCCAATTTACACATTTAGATTTTAATTTCATCCACACATGTTAAACAAACAAATTTGATAACATTGTTCACAACACGCTACACAATTATACAAACTCGTAAACACACGCATACACACGCACAGTGTAAAAACACGTACACACACACACAAACAAGACTAATTTAAGACACTCTCACACGCAAACAATCACACACACACATACACACACACACATACACACACACACACAGAAAAGTACTAGCAAACGTTCGCCTACTTAATTATTCATAAACACATACATGAATATATAAAAGGCATAAATATAAGATCTTTGAAAAAGGCTTGGGCTTGATGAAGCAAAAATTTGTCAGCTGCAGAGTTGTCGACGAGTGTAACGAACTGGGAAATGAAATAAAAAACAACTAATAACTTTAAAAGCAAATTTTACGAAAGTAGGATTTCAAAAAAAGTCTCAGAGTGGTCTTGGATCACTATAAAAAACTCTGTGTCATGTTATGTTTTGCTATATTATGTTATATTTTATACAAACACACAAACAAATCCACACAAACACACACACAAAGAAAACACACACAAACATACAGAGTAAATTTAATACTAATACACTCACATACACACAAAGGCACACACACATATATATATACATACATATATATACATACATACAGGGCGAATTCAAAGAGACGCTGAAATCAGCCGGTGACAAAGCGATCATAATTGATTTCTTCACAACCTGGTGTGGACCTTGTAAGGCCATTGCTCCGAAATTCGAGGTTTTTTTCTCTGAGATTTTTTGATTTCCATGTATTTTTTTCTGTCTCATTCTTCTCGCCATTGTTTCTCCTTCTTGTTGATGCAATTCGATTGCTTTATTTCATGCCTGAGAATTTTGTTACATAAAATTTGATTTTGTTAATTAATTAATTTATTGCTAAGTTGATATAGTAACGAATTTTTTTTAGTTTGCACTTCAGATAATATAATAATAATAACTGTTATTATTATTATTTCTATTATTATTATTATTATTTTTTTTTTTTGACAACAACTAAACTATGCTTTCTGTGGGCCAAAAGAATTTTATACACATTCACTGTATCAACGATTGCACTTCAGATAATATAATAATAATAATAATAACTGTTATTATTGTTGTTGTTGTTATTGTTATTATTATTATTATTATTATTATTATTATTATTATTATTATTATTATAAGAAGGATTTCATCTAATTGACCTTTACAACTTTAAGAACTGCTGAAAATAAAGGAATGAATGTATGATTGAATATATATATATATATATATATATATAGAGAGAGAGAGAGAGAGAGAGAGAGAAAGAGATAGAAAGAGAGAGAGAATTTGTTCTCTACAAAATTACGGACTCCAGACTAAGATGAGGAAGACGAAGACTGAATTAATTATGATAATGTTGTCGTTGGTGATGATGATGAGGATGATGATAATGATGCTAATGAAGATAAGGTGACTAAGTCGTCGGCTCCGCCCATATAAAAATAATGATATAATTTTATATGGTGTCCAGCTGTCCATGCTTTATGACGATGATAAAGCTATTGTGGTTGGCTGACCATAGAGGAATAAGGGCACAAGAGGGCCCTTTGACATGGACCTCCGAATTTAAAAAGACCCAAATAAGCCCCTTGTAAAATTATATTATTAAACATTTTACAATGAATAAATTTGTGATCGACCGAGTTTTTTCAACATGCAAGCAAGCGTATCTAGTAATGAAATAAATCAATTTGATTAAAATATTTATAATTAATTCTTAATATAATTTTTTTCTTTATAGGCCATGGCGAAGTCCCATCCAAAAGCCATTTGCATCAAAGTCGATATAGACGAGAATCAGGTTGGATTGATTTAGAGTTTTGTTTATTCATTCATTCATTTATTCTTTTACTTTTTTCATTCATTATTTTGTCAGTCATTCATTCAATCTTTCACTCAAACATTCCTTGCAACATTTTTTTTTTAGTTATTCTCATCAACCATCAACATTTCATTTATCCACTATCTGAAGCAATCATTTTTCTCGATTCATCTTTCAGTCAATCCTCATTCATTCATTCATTCATTCATTCATTCATTCATTCATTCATTCATTCATTCATTCATTCATTCATTCATTCAATCATTCAATCATTTACTGTCATTCAATCATTCATTAGTCTATTGTGTGATTGATTGGATGAAATTTGTATTAGTCTTTAATCCATTTGATCAGACCTTCATATATTCAATTATCCATTCACGCCATAAATTTACTAATCCATTCATTCATTCTATCATTCATTCATTTAATCATTCATTCATTCATTCATTTTTAGGAAGTCGGAGAAGAGTACAACATTCAATCCATCCCGACATTTGTAGTTATTCAAAATGGAAAAGAAGTATTAATATTATTATAATTATAATTAATTATAAGTGTTAATATAATAATAATAATATTATTATTATTATTGCACACTCGTCTGGCCAACCTACTGTAGCAGTGACCATTGAGTTTAAATGCAAAAAGATCCCAACCAACTAACTAACTTACCAACCAATCAATCAACCAACCAACCTACCAACCAACTTACCAACCATCCAACGAGCCAGCCAACTAGCCAACCAATTGGCCAGCCAGCCAACCAACCTACCAGCAAACCAACCAACCAACCAATTAACCATCCAACCAACCAGCCAACCAATCAACCAACCAACCTACCAACCAACGAGATCACACGCAATGTTTGATGCATGGATTTTTGGCGTATTTTAAATTCGCTAAATGTGCCTTGTTGATATCTCTGAAAATTTATAGAGAGGGTAGTGGTAACATTGAGAGAAAGAGAGAAAGGAAGAAAGAGAGGGTATAAAAGAAAAGATGAAAAGAATAATAATATGAGTGAGATGGAGACAGAAGAGAGAGAGAGAGAGAAAGAGAGAGAGATAGTAAAGAAAAAAAGAAAAAATACGGACATCATATTTTAATATTATTTATTAATAATTATGACTATAATATAAATTTCAAAAAAAAAAATAATTAATAAAAAATTTTTTCCAGGTCGAAAGGCTGAACGGTGCGAATGAAGCTGCCCTATCGGGGTTGTTCGAGAAATATGGAAAATGAATAAATAAATTAAAGTTAATTATGACGTAATAATTATAACTAATTATGACGTTTTTCTAATTATATTTGACGTAATTTCTGCTAATTATAACGGTAATTATGAATGGTGTTATGAATGATTTAGAATAGTAACCATTTCTGTATAACCCAGCTTTCTGTCGCAATGTTTTTACCTAGCATAATATAATCTATCAGTTTTAAGATATTAATTAATTACTTACATAATTAATTAATTATGTAATTGGGTGAGTGAAAATATTGATGTAAAATAACGTATTGATGGTGATCTGGTAATTGTAACGAGACATTGTGAACGTAAGAATGATATAGTGTGTAACAATTTATGATTCTACTCAAAATAATAGCAACAAACATCGAAGATGATAAAAATAATTTTATGAATAATTGATGGTTAAGAGTGATGGTGATATTAGTAATTATAATTAATATTATTGATATTATAAAATTGTAAAAATTATATAAACTTGAAATGGCAATTTACCACTGCCCTCTACCTATTAAAAATTTCGTTTGATGGTGTTCAATAGAAATGTTTTTCTAAGTGTTCCTTTTTTACAGGTTTTGTTGGTTTCATTAATTTAAAATAAAATTTCAATAACCATCACAATAATATTAATAATGAAATAATTGTAATAATATTATTAATTGTAATAATAGTGATAATCATAATCTTCAGAAAGTTATTTACGGTGAAATACTACTAATCCAGGCAGTACAAACGAAAAAACTTTCGTAACTGATACACAGATACATGTGACATGGTTGATACAGATGATACAGATGATATAGATGATAAAAATGAAGTTGATGATGTAGATGATATTGATAGTGTTTGAGGATATAGTTAGTGTTGGTAATAGAGACACCTATTGTCATCATTTTTTTGCCATTTTTCAAAAATGATGGTGGTGAAAGTTATAAAAGTTTTGTATTCTAAATCAGGGGTGGGCAAATTTTTTGCTGAGAGGGCCACATTGAGAAATATTTTACCTTAGAAGGGCCGCATTGGTACTTAAATAGCATGTTTTTTCGACCCGGGGGATAATTTTTTTAAGATTTGTGGTTCCTTTTTTTGGTGATAATGTCTGGCTGACCTTTTTTTGGCGACCAAGAGCTCGCTTGCTTCGCAAATGAATGAGTGATAATTGCGATGGTTAGGATGGTTGGTGAGTATGTTGGAAATGAGGAAGATTCTTAAGACGATGATAAAACCATGTTGGCCTGCGTGAACAAACAAATAGGTGAAGGTGATGATTTAGATGATGATGATGAAGGTGATGATGTAGATTATGATGATGAAGGTGATGATGTAGATGAGGAAGGTGATGATAAAGATGAAGGTAATGATGATGAAGTTGATGATGATGATGAAGGTGATTATGTAGAAGATGATGATATGTCATAAATAAAATTTTCCCCGTCAAAATTTTGATAATTTTTTTTTTACTTCAAAAAAATTTCAGATGATGAATTGAAACTCGCCAAATCTCAAATTCGACCGCACGTGAATAAATAATAATTTCAATATTATTGCGGTTTCAAGTCATGTTGTATATGTGTTTATGTATGTGTATTTCTGTCTATGAGTATATATATGTGCGTGTTTCCGTCTGTGTGTATATGTGTGTGCGCCAGTGAATATGCTAACACGTGTGTTTGCAGGTGTATATGAAAATTCAAGTGTTTTTTTGTATGTAAGCCTGCATGTATGTGTGCGTATGTATGCTTATGTTTTCGAGTTTTTCAAATGTATGTATATAAATATATAGATGGGGTCATTGTGGAAAAGCAATATATATGGATGTATATATGTGTGTATATGTGTATGTGCATGTATACACATACACTCATATGTATGGTTATACGTTTGCACACGTACGTATATGTATGTTTGTATGCATGTGATTGCATGTGTGTGTGTGTTGGTGGGTGTTGGTGTGTGTGTGTGTGTGTGTGCGTGTTGGTGTGTGTGTGTGTGTGTCTATAGAGTTGTGCATAGTTTATGAGTTTATCTAGCCTAGAACAACATCACATCAATCATGGATGAGGAAGTGTTAGTGGAATGAGATGAAGATGAAAAATCTTCTTAGAACGCAGAAACTTTTTTTTTTTGGTTTCGGTACGGTATTGATATAGGTATCGTGTCTGTATCGTATCGGTATAATGTCAGTATCGTATCGGTATGGTATTAGTATTGGTATTAATATCGGTATAGTATTTGTGTTGTATCGGTAATGTATCGGTGTTGATTTGTTTATCCACCTGCTTTTTGTTTCGGTATTTCGTTCTAACTTCCATCGACTAAAATTTGAAAATTTTTTAAATAAACTTTTTTACCACTCTTACCACTGACTATATACTTACGTTGCAATGACTGTTTTTAATACGACCAATAGCATTTTTAATAAGATAATAATAATAATAAAATAATATTAATGATAATAAAATAATAATAATAATGATAATAACGAACAATAACGCCATTAATCATGATCAGATCTCAAAAAAAGGGTCTGATTGACAGAACTTTTGGCTACTAAGCCCTGCTGCTGCTGCTGTTGATGATGATGACGCTGGCGATGATGACGACGACGACGATTATGATGATTATGATGATGTTGATGATTGTAAAGATAAATGCACATGCATATCGTTATCATATGAGTGCATACTCATGATGAATACGGTTTATAAAAGTAATTTGGCAGCAGGCGACAGACGACGATGATGATGATAGTGATAATGGTGATGATGATGACGATGATGACGACGTTAACGATGATGAGGATGATGACGATGATGATGAAGATTGTGGGAGTGTTGATAATGATGTTGATGATGTATCATATACAAACATCATGGGTGATAAAGATATCGATGATTTGAATGATGGTGAGGGTGATTAGAATGATTAAGACGATGACGATGGTGATGATAATGATACCGGTGATACTGATATTGATACTATGATGTTATTATGATTCGATTTGATGATATTGATAATGATTGCAACGATGGTAGCTACTACGACGACGACGACGTGTATCTCTGTTGAGGAATGCGAACCAGAGCGACAAGAGGCTGTATTGATTGATGGATTCGCTTTCAAATGCTGGTTTCAATTTCAAAAGCAGTCTCCCGAAATATTCAACAATAACGCCAACCAAAGTTTTATGACCGCCGTAGGTTGGCACGTGTGATTGTATGTCTGTATGTGCGTATGTATGTTTGTATGTATGTATGTTTTTTGTATGTATGTTTCTATGTATGTATGTTTTTTTGTGTATGTTTTTACGTATGTATGTCTTTTTGTATGTATGTTTGTATGTATGTATGTTTGATGTTTGTATGTATGTGATTTTGTATGTATGTATGTGTGTTTGTACACACACATACATACATACATACATACAAAAAACATACATACAAAAAACATACATACATAAAACATACATACATAAAACATACATACATACAAACATACAAACATACATACATACATACATACATACATACATACATACATACATACATACATACATACATACATACATACATACATACATACATACATACATACATACATACATACATACATACATACATACATACATGTATTACGTATGTATAGTGATGGAAAATGTTTATTTCTCCTGATGTCGCTAGCAATGTGTTCATTATTTCATTTAACATGGTTTCTAAAAACTTTTGAAAAATAATTTTCAAAATAATAATTTCTTAATAATAACAATAAAAATGATAATAATAACAATAAAAACATCAAAAATTATAATACTATTAATAATAAAATATTAATAAAACTTTAACAGAATAATCTTAAACACCAAATGTGAATTAGAATCATTTATTTCACTGTTCATGTTTGTTTGTTTGTTTGTTTGTTTGTTTGTATGTTAAAAAGACATATTGAAAATTATTCATATGCATATATTATAGTATATAATTACTACTTCGGCTTTTTGCCTGCCATAATAATATTCATGAAAATCGTAATAAAAATTAATTATTAAATTAATTACTAATAAATTAATAGCTAATTAATAAAGTTTTTCTGCTATGGAGGTTGCGTAAATTAATAACACTCGTTAATTTTTTTTTTTTGGAAAAGATATATATCATTAATTCCAATTCACATTTGTTTTAAGAATTTTTTGTTAAAGATTTATTATTATTATTATTATTATTATTATTATTATTATTATTATTATAACTTTTTGTTGTTGTTATTGTTGTTGTTGTTATTATTTTTATTATTTATACCGTTATTATTATGATATTATTATTATTAATTAATTAATTAACGATTTAACGGATTAGTTATTCAGCTAAATGATTGAAGAAATATAAAAACAATTTATTTTCAATTTAATCGTTATATGATATAAATGTATTTATGGCCAAATGGAATCATTGATAGGTAAAAGCTCATTCGTTCGTTAGTTTTATTATTATTTATCATTAAATTCTAACATTAACCTTGTTTTTTTTTATGTTTACATGTAAAAATATATAAACATATAGACAGAGAATTAAATATTATTCATAATATTATCATTTTTATCATATTTATTTTCATAAATTTGTTGGAAGGTGACCATATTTTATACAATCATAAATATAAGTATAGTAGGTGTTATTAATCATATAATCAAAATGATTCAAAATGATATTAGTGTTATATTTGTCAGAAAAACTAGTAATGATAATTGATAGATTGTTGTTGTTTAATACATTAGGCGACGAGGTGGTGTAATGATTAAGGCGCCTGATTCGACTGCTGCAGTGACCGTGTTCGAATACGGCTAGATCTCCGTATATCATCACTTGCGATGAGTGCGTGATACGAGGACTATGTGTGTGCGTGTGCGTGTGTGAGTGTGCATGTGTGTGTTTGTGATTGTATGTGTGTGCGTGTGTTTGTTTGTTTATGTGTGTGTGTGAGAGAGAGAAAGGGAGAG